GACCACACACTTTGCGCATTGAACCCGCCACACACGCACAGAAACACACACACACACACACAGACACAAAATCGCACTCCAACTAAAGTCACAAAGTAACAAAAAAAAGTGAACATAGAATAAAAAAACACCTTAAAGTGAACGGTTTTCGGTTAGAAAACTACTTTCAACGCGTTAAAAATAAGAGCTCTCTTTTGGACTCGGGAGGGACTGAATGTGCTCCCTGGAGGTCCCCGCATGGCCAAGGCAAAGCAGAGCCGAGCAGAAGAAGGGGAGCTCCAGCCTCAATGGACCCCCCCCCCCCTCCCCTCCTCGCTTTCGAGCCCGGTGGTAAAATCGGAACCGCGAATCCCGACTGGTTCTCACGCTTTTCAACCCGATCACACGCCAGCGTTGCGCAATCTGCACGAAAAGAAGGAGCGAAGAAGCGGCGAGGGAGGATGATAATTTTTTAAAAAGTGTGTTAGTTAAACTTCCCCTCGTTTCTCGCCCCCCCCCCCCCTCTCACTTCCCCCCCAAAAAAAGGACAACAGCCGACCGAAGATGGAGAAAGTTCCTTCATTCAACCCTCCCCTGGAGATAAAGTGCCCCGTCTGGGAGAAGAAGCGGCTCCACTTACCGTGACTGCGTCTGCTTGGCCGCATGTCCCCACGAGAGTGATGTGTATGTGCGTATCTGTGTGTGTTGTGTGTGTGTGTGATGTGTGTATGTGTGTGTGCGCACAGGACGCATGCCGACACCAGCGGTCGGAAGCGCAGCGCAACACGTCAACGCGTGTTGCTTCCATATTATGAGAGGGTGTTGGAGAGGGAGGGGGGGGGGGATTGTTAAAGCTACTGCCGGATTTAGGGGTGCACAAACATGGGGTTCGGGGACCCCTCCAAATACAAATACAACAAAAAAAAAAGATTGCTTTAAAAAATGTCTGTCTGTCTGTCTGTCTGTCTGTCTGTCTGTCTGTCTGCATGACAAAGCTTTTAATTTCTTTTCATTTTAATTTCTTTTAATTTCTAATTCACGCATTTGATTCTGCTGTGTCATGATAAAGACCCCCACTGCCCCCACCGCCTCTCCACAATTCCCCAACCCCCCCTTTTCAAAACTTTCTACACGCCCCTGTGCAAAACAAAATAGTTCATTAAAGTTCAAGAGGTCTCCATTTACCCTTTGTTACTTATCAAATCTTGAGCTAAACTAGTTTAAATAATAATAATTAAAAAAAAAAAGCTTTCAGTTGCTTCATACTCAGGTGGTTCATCTAGTATCTCATCAGGGGCGGATTAGTGCAGAAATGTTGCATATTAAAGCTGTAACCCCTCAACCCTTCGCCACAAACGCAGACACACATCAATACGTATAGAGTGCTATTCAGGACGCATCTCTGCGTCCGAGGACATGCCGGGACGTCTTTGTGTGATTTTTTTTGTTTTTGTTTTGTTTTGTTTTGTTTTTTTCCCCTCCACACCCTGAAACAAATGAATGAACCCAGCAGCAGCAGCAGCAGCAGCAGCAGCGCCGCTTCACTGCTGTTTTTAATTGAACAGATAACAACCTTGAATGGTTTTGTCTGCAGTGGAGAGGCAGCCTGGGAGATTTGTACTCCTGCTGTTGCTGCTGCTGCTGCTGCACTCCTCACACAAATGCCTCGCATCTTCTCTGCAGAGAGGCATGCAGACATCCCAAAAATAAATAAATAAATAACTAAAGAGAGAAAGGAAAGATGGAACGTGCAACACATGTAGAAGGACAGAAACACGAAGTGCTTACCAATAAGCTTCATCCAGATTGGTAAACCCAGGGTTTCCCCCCCACCACCAAACAGCTGCTGGGATCTGCCTCTTCATTTCAGGATTTGCATCTTTCTGTCTTTCTATCTTACCACTCCCCCCATCGCCCCCCTGCATCCTTTCTCTGCTCTCCCCTTGTTTCTACTCTGAATCCTTTAAGTCTGATCAATGGGCAGCCGGTGAAGCAAGCTCTGCTGCCTCCACCTCCCTCAGATTTGTGTGTTTGAGAGAGGAGGCTTCCAACCCACACAGCACTCTCCGGAGCTCTCAGCCTCCACAGTTGACCACTCCACACACCCCCCTCCCCCTCCACCGCTCCACCACCCCCCTCCTTCACCCCCTACGCATCACTTGTGTGCGTCTACACCTACACAGAGTAGTGCCATTAGAACTGAAGTGCACATTTTTCCCTCCACCTGAAGTTGATTCTTTATTTTTGAACGCGCGTCTTAGAGGCAAAGCATCCTCCGCAAAAAAAAAAAAAAGGAAAAAAAAAAGGAAGCTCTGAACACCTGTGACTCATGTCTGATCCCGCAGAGCAGCTTCTGGACGTTAGTTAGTGAGCAAGAATAATAATTTAAAAAAAAAAGAAAAGAAAAAACGGCCAACTTTGGCGAGCTTATTTTAAATGAGGCGCATTAGAGCAAAGCCGCACTGCAACGCGGTTATAAATAGGGATCTAAATGCATCCTGCAGGAGCCGACAGATGAGGATAAACGCACGGATTCAATTCTAATAACTGACCCCCGGCACCACGCAGGGATTTCAAGCGACAAAGAGGGATGGACTGTGAAAAGGGGAGTGGGGAGTGGGGGGGGGGGGGGGAGGAGAACAAGGACTCTCTTGCAGCTTCAAGATGAAACCGAAATAGCCGTAATGAGCACAGAGTGGCATCATGAGAGGGGCACGGCTGGCTGACAGATGTCATTCAAAAAGCGCGATAATTACCAGGCAGACGCAGAGACGTCGCTGAAATAAATGCGAAAACGAGCGTGGAGGTGGTTGCTATTTAGTGGCGGGGAGAGCTTTCAAAGTTCTTGTGCAAAATAATCGCAAAGAAAGGGCGATCACAGTGGAGGGTTTTCGATATATGGACTGTATGGGCGGTTGCCCTGAGTGATATCAGAAAGGGGGTGGAAAGGTACCAGATTAAAAACAGTTTGTTTGGGTCTGACAGAGAAGTTGGTTTGCTTCAAGACCCAAACTGACAGAGATGTTGCCCTCAAATAAAATCCAGAAGTCCTTGAAAGAAAGTCAATGTCACTTTTATTTATAGTAAGATGACAAAAAAAAAAGCAATTAGATAAATTCTGTTTGTTTCATTGTACCATACATACAGTGAAACATATGGTGGCAGCATCATGCTCTGGGGATTTAGGGATGCTGCACAGAGTAAATATACAGGAAAATCTGAAAGTGTTGAGAAACTTCATATCAAAGGATGACCCAGTCAAAGTCCGGACCTAAAATCCAACTGAGAAACCGCGGATGTTCACCCAGCCTGACTGCGCTCGAGACATTTTGCAAAAGAGAAGCACAGGCGGAACATGACCCCTCACTTCTGTCCCGCTGTCAAACTTCCACTTGCAGTTGACACTTTTAAGTCAATCTTTCTCATCCTCAGTTTTATTTATTTATTTATTTATTTTTTTAGAAGAAACAACAAATGATGGTAATAAATCCTCTCATTTCAAACTAATTCCTGCTGGTCTGTCGCGCTGCCATAATGGAGACAAACGCTCCGTGTGTGGGCTTGACTGGCAGCGCCTGCGTCCTCACCAGACACACGCAGGAGGAGAACCGGGCGTGTCGACAGGTACCGCTCTAATCAATCACAGTGGAAGCCAAGAGAGGGATGCCAACACCTGCGTCAGTCACGAGACACAAGCTCACAAGACGCAGCTCAATCGGAACAGAATAATAACGTGAGATTTCTCTAATAGGCGACGTGAGCGCAGACGGTGTGAAGTGCTGCTGCATAAAAGTGTTCTATTGGTTGAAAAAGAAAAAAGAAAAAGAGATGAACGTGAAAGTCTGCTGTGGATATTTGAAGTAAACGACGATTAGAGGTGAAAACATGCTATGCAACAATTTGAAGGAGGCAGAGTGATGAACTGTTGGGAAGCTGTGATAACACACAACTCCCACACTGAGATTCACTTCACTGACCAATCTGCGAACAAGTAATTGGCTTGAATTTGTGATTCAATAAAATAAATTATGAAAACGTGAAACTTCATCACAAAGTTTTTTTTTTTTTAATTATTATTTCCAACTGAAATGATTGAAGTCCCGCAAGTAATAGAGTTAGTAATAGAGTTACGGTGGCAAATTACTGCTTTTGTTTCAGTAAGTTGATGAAAAATTATCATCAAGTGGATGAAAGAGTGGAAACTGTCAGTTATGAAATGATAATCAAATCCTTCCCTCTCTGATAACTCGTCATGAGATTTTGAAATTGCTGTGAAGGAATTTAAGATCATGATGGAGCATTTCAGTGGAACAGACTTTGACTAGGCCACTGCAAAACCTTCATTTTGATCAGCAGTTTGATTGGTGGTTTGCTGCTGTTGGTTGGAAATTTGATGAATTTGTATGTTTTTTTTTTCTCCTTTTTTTATTGGACTGATTTGATGCTTTTCTTTTTGAGGCATCTTGTACTTAAGCAAGTAATGTAGTTAATAAGAAATAGTTCACAATAATTTGTAAAGCGGTTGATGTGAAACGCAGATTTAAAAACCCACACAAAAGGCTCTCCATTCTTTGTGAGGAAAACTTGAAATATCAGTATCCAGTACTTATTTTATCTACTGTAAATTCAGGCTAATCCTGAATGTAATTTCTTTAATATTTTCTCTTACATCTCACAGAAAAACAGTGATATCTCCTTTGTGGTAATTAGATTGGTAATTAGGCTATATGGGCAGTTCCCCAGAGTGGCATTAAATAAGAGGGCTTATGGATACCAGATAAAAATATAATGCAATTATCTGCCCGTTTTCCAACTTTTATGAGTGTGAGAATATGAATGTTATTTTATGCTTTATACAGACTTTCAGTACATTTTATTTTGCACCAGAATTGAGACGACTTCTTGCATTTTGATCAGTTGTGGTTTCGGCCAAAGGAAAAGCTCGTCCAGGGTGCCATTTATGTAAGACTGGGTAATGCGTTTTCTTCATTCTTCTTCTGTCTGTTTACATTTGGACTGTGGAACTTAAGAATTTCGCTGTTGTCTTCCTCCCCTGCTGGGCTGCCGCAATGAAAGCCCTCTGTGGCTCTAATCTCTTCGAAACACAAAGTTTCTCACAAACAGAATTTTCTTCAAAAATCCTGATGTAATCATGTGTCCCTTGCTTGTGTGAAGGCACTCATTTTCCGTTGGCTGGTTAGTTCTGTGAGCTGCCTGTCTGAGCGACAGTCATTTACATAGGTAATGGTAGGGGTAGTGCTCAAAAATGTGCGTGGGTGGAAAAGATACAATCCTCTACCAGCATTCAAAACCAACCAGGAGGAGAGAGAGAGCTGCATGCACAGAGGGAAGGAAGACAGAAAAGAAGATGTAGGTATCACGCTCCTGAAGCACTCGGAAATGATGGGTAATTACATTTCAAATTACCAATGGGAGCAAGAGCAAACTCGGTTGCTTTGGTGTGCAGGGAAATTCATCAAGAGTGCTGAAATCAGTGCGCAAGGGGTAATTTCCAGAATTTGTGCGTTCAGGCGATGTTGATTTGCATAGATGGGGGATGAGGGTCAGCTCAGCAGAAAACAAAACAGATGTATTTTGTATCTCATATCGAATATCTTTAGTCTGGAGATGTTGGATGAAAACCCAAAAGACACAGAGATATTTCAGTCAATGTCTCTCTAAAGAGACATTCATCTTCGTTAAGCCTCACGGGATTACACATAATAATCACATCGTGTTGCGCAACGTTGGAAATTCAAAAGTTGGGTTTTGAGATTTTGAGCTGCTGTCAAAGCAGACATCTGCAGAGAAATCAAATCCGTCATCACTCATTGGGTCACTCCAGGTCATTCTGGGTGATCTCAAGGATCTCCTACGCCAAATATATATATAAAGTCCTCCTGAAGTTCTTTGGGTCCAGAGTTTGCAGAATTAAACTGCAGCAGAAGACCAAAGCTGTGAGCCAAAGTCGAGAAACTGAGGCTACATTTTGGCTTGTGGACTTAAGGATATATTACCATTTCTTTCTGGGAGAGTACTAACCACCCATGTTTGAGTAGGTACATGAAGCTAGATCAGCTCCCGTCGAGAACTGAAAAAAAAAATCAATGCTTTATTGCTTCAAGTTGAAGATATACCCTGCTTTATCAAGCTAGTTTTCATCAGAGTCTACACAGTTTTTGTTTGACTAAAATGTGACGATGTCCCATTTTGGAATCAGAGATTTGTGGAATCGACAAATTTGTGTTGTGTCAACAGAAACTAAAGTCTCTGAGGTTTCTGAAACCTTGATGGCGATGTTAAGAATAGAAGCAGTTTGGAAGACTGAGGGGAGTCCAACATAGTAGTAGCAAGACTTTGCTAATAAAGTAGCTGTTGAGTGTATAAGACGATGAATCCAACAGTTACTTTCACTTGAGCAATTTGCAAAAGTATGAATGCAGGATAAAATGTGACAGAAATCTTGTTCTACTAAATTTTCAATGCATCCTGTCAACACCGGACTGTATTCCTGCAGCAGACCTACTTGCATGATTTGACAGAAGGTTAGAGAAATGCCTATGCAATAAACAACAGCTCATGCTTTTTCAAATAGGTGCAAAACCGTATACGTTGGTCTCTGGCTGTGTACCAGCGAGTTGAACTGGATGTACAGCTCTTATGTACATTTATCTTTTTCCTCCTTCGTATTTGACTCGTCTGACTGTTGCTATGAAATGTGGTGTGGGACAAAAGGAGACCCAGAAACTCTCTGACCTCTTAGAGAGGCCTCTCTCTCTCTCTCTCTCTCCTTCTCTTCTCACCCTATTTGTATCCTTTTCTTTCCTCCTCCATTCAAAGCTTGTTTTTCCCTTTCTGCCTCCCTTGCTTTTTCTCTGTCTCTCACTCCTTCTTTCACTCTGTCAGGCTGCTGTACTTTGATGTGGTGCTGGCCCAGGTACTCTCGCCTGGCCTCCTCCTTCACATGCACACATACACACACACACACGCAATTTTTCTCCAAGAACAACACAAGCCAATGCGTGCGCGGCCTGAAACACACAGCCAGGCTCTCTCTCTCACAAACAGGAATGTGTGGGAATCTCCCCTCTGG